CACCCCATCTTTGGGTGTCAATGCGTTGCTTGTATTCCTTCTCTCCTCCTTAGCTTTGAGCACAATGATGAGCTCCTCTAGCCTAAGACCAGTCTCCCTAGCAATATGAAACATACGAACACCTTCCAAGAAGAGGAGAGAGTGTTTCGCAAGTGAACCAGTAGCATGGGTTCACTGGGCGCATCTTGATTGCTCCAATTCTCGAACTAGTGCTCTAAACGTGTATACGTGCTTGCCTATCTTTCTACGGTTGGCCATTTGCAGATCATTATATTTTTTATGGCCAAGGTCTTCCTCATGAGATAAGGATCAACAAGTTCCTTCTAAAGTCGATCATGCATTCCCCTTAGCGGTTTTAATCCGTTCATACTGGGATGCATATGAGTCATGCATATCCATAGGTAGGACATGTCTTGCGAGCATATTTTTTGGGATATGCATCTCTCGTAGCCTGATATGCATTTCCTCTAGGCTGAGACAGTGGAGTTTCAGTGTGGATATAATTCAAACCCTCATCATAGAGCACATACCTATCTTGCGCTTCCATGAGGCGTTGTTTGCACCATCAAAACATCTCGATCATCAAAATCTCAGCAATAGAACTCCTTATAGTCATGTATTCTTGTCTTAATTATATAAAAAGACTCAAATATTAAAAATAAAAATAAATTGATAATAGTAAGAAACCCAAGCTCTGATACCAATAAAAATTTGGATATGGTGAATTAGTACGATATATGTAGTTTACAATTTTTCTTTTCTCTACCGACACCGCCTCTGATTCTAATATGCCAAGTCGATTGCGTAGGGGCTTCCCTTATTATTATATAAGTTGGGTCGACTAAGAGGACTCCCCAATCAAGCTCTAAAGGATGCGAACTCAATACTTATGTAAGTGCCTTGGTACTACACTTGCATTTTATAAAGACTTTGTTTGCCTTTGTTGTACAATTTCCTGTGCTTTGCCAACCCGTCTACGCCCATTTCCATACTTTTTGAATCATGATGCTTGTCAGAGTCCAATGATGGATTTTGGGTCGCAACTGATCCCAAAGCTCATATCTTTAATTCATGAGGTCCTTCACTATTCAAAATCAGGATCCTCTAAAATAGTCCCTTATTTGGGGGCCTTCATGCAACATTTTATAATTTCTGATAATTTTCCAATGTATATGTGACTGGATCCTAATCGGAGTGAACAACCACGTGCTTTTAAAATTGATGGTTTATCCATCATCAAGAATCATCATTTAATCTAGCTCTTTGATTTTTTTAGGGTGCAGGTTGTATAGAGCTGAGGCAAATTAGAGCCCACCTTCAAATAGTGTCGAGAAATATGGTTTCAATGTTGGAAATCTTTGTGATAACTTTAAATATATTTTCATCTTTAATTATAAAATTTAAAGCTTAAAAAATAATGTAGACCAATATTATATATGAAAACTTGAAAATCTTGAAAATTGACGGTCCAAAAATGTAAAACAAGATCCACTATTTTCAAAACTTGAAATCCATTTTTCTTCATGTTGTAATTTTTTTAAGTTGGGAGGGCGTTTGCGTAATTTTTTTAAAAATTTGCGCTTCTTGTCCTACATGCCCTGCTTGAGCTAGGGTCTCTATCTTGACATTCATGACCCCCAAGAACACGAGCCCCCAAGAAGTGTCAACCATGCTTTTCAGGCGCACAAATGAGAACACTAATGAGGAGGGTTTTATACATGCCAAACTTGTTCTACATGTTCAATGTGAGACATTTCGTCCCATTCACCTTGGTTAGGAGCGTTCTTTCTCTCTATCTCTCTTTCTTTCTCTCATATATAATAAATGAGAAATGTTTCTATACTTCCCATACAACATAGAAGATCTATGCTTCCCCTACCATTTAGCCATTCAATTTTGAGCAAGAGAGTCACTCGCTGTTTGATCTTAGATCTGACGTCTCAAAGTATTTTATTTTTATACAAATTATATGGATATGAAATTTGGTACGTGCCATCTTCTCATTGGGGCGCACCTATAAAAAATATTAAAAATAAATTTTTGATAAAATATAATGACCAAAATACCCCTTGAAATTTTCAAGGGCATGTTGGTCAATTTATTTATTGAATATA